TCAAAATACAAACCATAACTACATACATTCAATACAATTACAATCTGTGTATGTGGTTATCTATACTTTTTTTTTATCTTTTGAAATGTAAGTGTGTGAGTGAGTGAGAGAGAGAGAGAGAGAGAGAAGAGAGAGAGAGAGAGAGAGAGAGAGAGAGAGAGAGAGAGAGAGAGAGAGAGAGAGAGAGAGAGAGAGAGAGTGTGTGTGTGTGTGTGTGTGGTGTGTGTGTTGTGTGTGTGTGTGTGTGTGTGTGTGTGTGTGTGTGTGTGTGTGTGTGTTTAATTTCTCTGGATATATGCCTGCCTGTACATGTTGACATGAGTATTTGTGACACACAGCCATGCTAACTCACAAAAAACATACACCCACACACAACAACACATCACCATGGATATATATGCACACATATTAAGTATAACAATAGGACATACATATACATTAATCATCATAACAAAATATACTCGGTATTGGTATCTGTGCTATTAAAACTTGCAGTTATGTGGGCATAAAAAAAAAAGAAAGAAAAGAAAAAAAGTGAAGGTACTTTCAAATGTAGCTCATACAATATAATGTGTTTCCTAATGTGATGCAACACAGCAACATATCTTGAATGTTCAAATTACGGCTATAAAGTTCACATTTAACCTTTAATAAATAAGATAAAACACAGAATGCATTACAAGAGGCTAACCTTTTGAGGCTAGGAGATTTATTTCCATTTTTTTCTCTCATAGAATAAGCATAACAATAATTACCGTTTATATTAGTGATTAAAATTTCCTTTGTCGTCTTTTAGAAGTTGTGATTGCTGTCTCTCTTTTATTTCCGAAGTATGCCAATCGCGGATCCAACATTCCTCCACATGATTATATTTCCCAGTATCAATTAATATACCTTATCATCATCCACAATTATTGAGGTTTTGCCCAAAGTTACAACTGGCTACGACTATTTTATTAATAATCATTAGGATTACTCCATCATATCAAATATATATCATCATCATACAATTTCTATATGATCATTACTATCATTATTTTCATCACAATCATCACTATTATTTCAGTTTCTCTTTTTACTTTTTATCATCATTAACATCGTCATTATTTGTGCAATTTCAATTATCCAGAAGAAGACAAGACAAAAAAAAAAAAAAAAAAAAAAAAAAAAAAAAAAAAAAAAAAAAAAAAAAAAACACCACTGTTAATATTGCTCTTGTGAATCTTAACTGATGTTCTTGTGCTTGTTATCGACCAATACTAATATTACTGGTACTACTGCACACCCAATCTCGGGAATAATTTTTCTTTTTTATTTCCATTCACCAAATCTCTTTTATTCTAAGCAGCTGACACTTAACACTTATCTCTAAGTATGTTTTGTATTTCTATTTTTTTTTCTATTTAAATCTGCTGGCTCCAATATTTTTATTATAATTTTATTTATCTATTTGTTATTATTTTGTGTCAAAACAAACCTGGCAAAGTGGAATACTTTTTTTTTTTTTTGGGGGGGGGGGTGCCAATTTTTCAAATACTGAGTTTGGAGTGTGTATAGAATTGTATCGGAATAAGAAAGTTTAATAATACATAAAAGTATTAATATTAGTTAACTAACAATAACAGTACCAATAATAGTAATAATAACAATCATCATCACCATCATCATAAAAAACATCAATAATAATAATATTCTTAATAACAATAATACCAATAATGATAATTATATTGTTATTATTATCATTATCATAATAATAGTGATGATAAAGTAATAATAATAATAATAACAATAATAATAATGATAATGATAATAGAAATAATAATAAAAAAAGTTATAATAATAACAAAATAATTATAACAAAAAATAAAAATTATCATCATTATCAGTATAATTATAATAATGATGTTGATAGTAATAATAATAATAATAATAATAATAATAATAATAATAATAATAATAATAATAATACAATATAATAATAATAATAATAAATAAAATAATAATAATAATAATAATAATAATAATAATAATAATAATAATAATAATAATAATAATAATAATAATAATAACAATAATTAATAATAAAATAATAATAACAATAATAATAATAAAAAATAATAAAGATAATAATAACAGTAACAACTTCACATATAATTATAATCATAATGTCAGTAACATTAACAAAATTGACAAATAATAAATACCACAAAAAAATTAAGATAATACAACTCGTACTAAAATAACTAACATCAATTATCTTACTACGATAATCAGAAACAGAGTCACTTCCATAAATAATTATCAATGTCTTTCTTATTGTATTTCTGATTACAGAAACAGCATTAATACCATTAGCAAAATCCTAATGATGGCAGTAATACAAGAAATTCATCCAACAGAAATAATGATTGTTAAAATACAACAGCCATTGCAATAATGATAATGATAATGATGATAAAAGTAACAAACTCTGAAATGATAATAATAAAAAGTAACTATGATTACTGTTATTTTCCAGTCTTACTGTTACCATCAATATTACTACCATTAAAAATATAAATAATAATGATACTGAGGATATAAATATGAAGGAGAGAATGAAGACAAGACATTTTTTAAACTACAAGTGGTTTACAATAATATTAGATAACAAAGATAATATTAATATCAGATAATGAAAATAACAATAATGATGACAACACCAGACATTAAGTAAAAGACATCACTGACACACTAGTACATTATTTTGCAAACCTTATGATAAAAGTTTGAACTGTATGCATAGTTATCACAAAGACAATTCATGAAGAACCTACGGCTTTTTCACTCTTAGTAGTGCTCAAACTAAATACTTTTGACAACTCTTCAAAGTTGTGATTCTTACAAACCTGATCAACACCTTTTTCCTTCATGATATTAAAAGCAGCTCTAGAGGACTTTGCCAGAAGGCAGAGGAAATCCTCCAAAGCACTCTTTAGGCCTGGGTCCACGCCACCCTCTCTGACTGATATGAGGGTGAGGATAATAGTCTGTGGCCACTCGCTTTCTATCAAGAAGTCGCACAGCCAAGGAATTGATGGGAGGAGAAGGCTGAGGGTGTGCATTCCGAGGAACCACAAGTCCATCAAGCTTCCCCAGTGAGATTCATATTTTGTGGAGACGACTAAAGTGGCATAATCATGACTCTCTTCAACATTATGGGCATCCCAGAGGAAACGCACAGTGGTCTGCACAAATCTAAAAATGGTAAAGTCCGTGCTTTTCACATTCGGATGTTGGTGCCTCAGAATCATTAACCCAAGAATTGAGAAGTTTCCACACAATCTCAAATGTGGACTTTCTGAAGGAATATCTGGTACTTTCATGAATATAAATTTAAGTAGAGAATAATAAAATGGATCTATCTTTACCTTTTCTGGTTCTTGCACTACAATATTCATAAAAATGTTACAGATTGTTTCCATGGCTTCTGTGGCTGAATTGACTATTTCTGCCGGCATTTCTAACTCGTCTGTTTTGCTCTGAGGCCCAAATATACATCTTATGCTATTCCAGTGGTAATGTAAATATTCAAATAAAAGATTTTCTAACTCAAGCTCCAATAAAAGAGATCTTGGCTTATCTTCTGCCGTGAGATGACACAAACCAGGTAAAAGGAACCTAAAAATATCAGGCAAATTTTCATCGTCTTCTTTCAAACTAATTTTTGACTGGCTTTTCTTTTTGGATTTTAAGGCAGCCCTTTTATTATTCCAATCAAAGTTATACCTACAAGTTTTGATTATAAATGGTATTGTCGCATAAACTTCCTCCTTATTGGCAGCTGTTTCTTCAGCTAACCAAGCACCAAGGACCCGGATTGTGGCACACACAAAAAGGTGATTCTTTGGATTTTCAGAAAATGACTCGTCAAAAGAAGCTTTTAAAAAGATCAGAACAGCATTGAAGGCCCCTTTCAAAGCAGCGTACAACTGCTGTTTCTGTTTTTGTTCAAAATTTACTGCTCCATTTACTAAGAAGTTGATAGCTAATTCAAGAATCGTATAGCAAGCAGTTGTAGGCGAAGCTAAAGCAACTGCCTCTTTGAAAGTCTTATCTTCCAGGCTCATCCTTACTTCAATGCAAGCTAAATGAACCATCATTAAAAGCACCTGCCTGCCTTTGCCATCGGCTGGAGACCCGTTATCTGACTGCAAGATCCACGAAACGCCCAGACTCTCCATGGCCACACCTGCTAATCTTAAAGCTTTATCCCTTTGTTCACGACCTAATTTACTTAAAATCATATCAGACAACCCTTTGTGCAAGTCCTTCTTCCAAGATGGACTCCCTGTTGAAGAAGCGGTAAGAGGCAAGCTTTGTAATAGTTCAGTAATAAACTCACACAAGTTAAACTTTCTTTCAGTTTGGTCAACTGCAAATTCATGAGCCATATTATCCATAAGTTTGGTAAAAGCCTCAGGTTCGTCCTCCCATGTCCTGGGACCTTCCTCGGCCAACACTAAGAGCAAGATTTCTAACGCCTCCTCATAACAGAAGCTCTCTGCAACGTAGGCATCCACGAGGGGCCCCACTGCTTCGAAGTCTATTATCGCTTTTCTTCCACTTCTCTCGGATGAAATGCTCTTTAAGCACTGAAAGGAATCTTTTACTAGAGTCAAATCACCGTCATATAACTCTGGCTTTGATATTATGTCGCTTAACACAGGTATGAGGCCGTACAAAGTTGGATTCCCCACGCATGAAGAAATGAAACAGGTTAGTATCGTGAGGGCTATTGACTTAAACATGAAAGGAGGACAGCCTTCCGGAACATCACTGGTCTTCAAGAGCCGTGCTAAGAAGTCGAGTCCCACTGCATCCATTATCCGCTTCTTTGAATCTTCGTCCAGCTGTTCCGCCTTGATAAGCTTCGTAACCATGAGAAGGGCAGCAAATTTTTCTGTGTCTGAATTTGCCCGTCTCAAGATCATGATGCCTCGTTCTATTGGATTTGGCAT